CCTATCACTTTCCAATTCCCTATCTCCCGATATATTCAGTAAAAAATACCACAGTGGTTGTCAACAAACGATGAAACGTGTAAAAAAGGGTCTCAAGTGGGACATATGCCTTCAGAAGCACAATTCTGTCCTCTCAAGTCTTTTCAGGTGGCTCGTCAGTTGTGCATAAGTGTTTACTTACTCTCCCTAATACAGTCACCTCAGCGTCAGCCGCCGACGCCCAACTCATTGTTTCCCTTTCAGGTTCTGCTGGAGCGATGGCCTGGTGTGTGATTTCACTTAATGGTGTCCTCAGTGTTTCTCCAATCCATCTCTAGTTCCTTCAGCATCTTTGTTAAGCAGTATGGTTGGTTCTTGATTGGTTCGTTACCAGAGTCTCTTGTTACTAATTGCTTCTGGACATCTGATCCTCAATATCGAAACAGAGATACCGGCTGCTGATGAAATGCTTTTCGTGATGTCTCCAAGTCTCTGAAACATACAGAAGCATTTGAGATCCGGATGTTATTCCATATGCTGTACACAGTGTGCATGGAATATTTAGTTGTCCCTCAGAGTATTTTACATGGCAGACCTTTTTCCTGTACTATTAAGATACAACACAATCCGTCGAAGAATTACGTTGATGAAATTCAACAAGGTCTACACTTTACTTACTTTTACTTGTGAAGAGTAGCAGGATAGTAAACTGCATTTTCTAGATGTCTTGCTAACTAGGCGAGAAGATGGGTCACTTAGGAAAAGCGTATATAGAAAAAGCACATTAACACGGTAATACACACACTTCATTTAGTCACGTACCCTTGAAATATAAAAGAAGTGTTATTACGTGTCTTACCAGCAGAGCAAGCAAGATGTGTACGGATGACCTCTTACAAAAGGAATTTGAATATATTGAAGATGGGCTATCCGATTAGTTTCATAAAGAAACATATGAAAACACCACAGAGAAAACCTGAGGCTACGATTGCACGTAAGAAACCCCTATTTATTAAGTTACAATTTAATGGTGACTTGTCAAGTGAGATTTTATTTCAGAGACTTTCTGACAGTATACGAAGAACGTCTCACGCAGCATACCTATGTTTGCCATTCTCTAGCCGACGAATGATTGGGACACAAACGAAAGAAAGCTTGATAGGTTTGTCACATCTATGTGCATTTGTCAATTCAACTGCACCTGCGGTGACAGTTATGTTGGCCATACTATTACTAGACAGCTTAGCCGACGTGTTGCTGAACATCTCCCATAGTGGTTTGGCAAAGGACAGACAAAACAATCCGTAGCTCAATTTTGTCACATTTAGTTGGTAGTGGTCATGTAGTGGAGAAAACGAGAGCTTTCAAAGTAATTCATCGTATCCCACCGAATCTGTCCAATAGACTTCGTATTCGTCTACTGCATGCACACAGCTGAGACGATAGGCATTCGAACTATTAAACCTAAACTATGCATTCAAAAGAAATTCGCACAGCCATTATCCCTCCCTTGGCCTATTAAGACATAGCCAACTAATGACTTCCACACCAACCTTTACTTATATTTTCAACCCCTCTCTTACCACGCCTTAATCTTATCACATCTTCATGAAAATGTGTTTCATTTACTTCATTTACAGTCTAGCATCACTGAATCGGTTCATTTGTTTTTATTAGCCTTTATCGACTACTTCCACCTGAACATTTGTTTGTCTAATCATGCTGTATTTCATCAGTATTCATGTCATTACAGATCGCTTCACTTTTTCATCCTTATTACTGATAGTACCATTGCTATTATCATTATCATTATTATTATCATTACTACTGTTATGACTAATTGCACAATTTATATTCACCATCTTATAATCCTGTAGACAAAACACCATGATTAGTTTATATTTGAATTTTTATTTGTAAATTTATGTATATAAGAGTAAAGCCTGATGAGATCTAATTGAAACCACAATATTGTTCGCTTAAATGTGTTGTTCTAGGATTTACTAGTGGAATACTTAATATTTTGAAAGAATTACGTGATGAAGTTTCTCTTAAGCAGTACATACGCATGTCAACACCGGCGACCTAACCCAGGATCTTCAGCTTACCAGACGAGCTAGCTGATGATTCAGCCACTGGTCCATCAATTTCAACTCTTGTCATTTTACGATATAGTGTGATCGTAGCCCAACATCATAGGCAATTATTTCTCCTCATAATCAACTTAGTTGACCCCGCTGATCACGATTTTTCACCAACACGTCAAGCAACTTCATTCTATAGTGAATCACTAGTGATTACTAGGCTGATTTTTAAGTATCAATTTTGCCTGGGAGTACTGAACAGCTGTTTCGTCAGCGTAGTTTGGGACTCCTCAGCAGTACGCACCCACCGGGGTTCGAACCCAGGACCTTCCGGTTACAAGGCGAGTTCGTAGACCATTGAGCCACTGGGAACCGTCCCAATGACCAATGAATTCTACATTCTGCCAGTTTACGACATAGCGTGACCATTTCGTAATGTCTTCATCTTCAACCTGCTGCACTCTACTGGTCACGGCTTCCCGCTAGAACTCCAGACTAACTGCCTGAATAGGTCCTGGGTTCGAATCCGGTGGGTGTGTACTGATGAAGAGTTCCAAACTATTGGGACGAAACATCCGTCCAGTACTCCCAGGTTTTCCGGTGGTTCTCTAACTGATGTCAGCTCATGATGAAATCCTCCATCCAATCAAACAAAATCCCTACAAAACCATTACTTTAATATTAGTTTTGTGGGGATTCGACTGATTTCATAACTGACTTCATTTGGAGAACCATTGAAACCTGGGAGGGGTACCTGGCGGCTGGTGGTCACGTCGTACCACCAACTAACTGAAATTAAAATTCATGAGCTGGCCATTGGATTCCAACCGAGGGACTGAATGATCAGTGAACTCTCCTTGTAACCTGAAGGTGCTGGGTTAGATCCCTGGTGGAGTCATGGGTACGTACTGTTGAAGAGTGTCAAACGAAACAAGTGTCCAGCACTCCCTGGTTATCATTGGTATTCTAAGTGAAGTCAGTTTGTGTCCAATCTTCAGATCAACCAAATCCCTGTAAATCAATGCTTGAAAACATTTCTTGTCGGCAGAAGTAACCAATAAGAGGTCACGTGATATGTTGAAACTGATTCCAAATAGGAAGAGATGAAGTGGGCAGTGAAGCGTGACATCGGGGAGATCGTGTGTGGAGGAAATGAGAACTAGTCAGTAGTCATGGAATCAACTGAAAGTGATGGCAGAGAATGGAATGCAGTGCAGATGTTCCACCCGGCACGCGAAGGATGAAAAATGATGGTGATAACATGATTCTAGGAATTCCGCAACTTCTTGCATGTGAGCATATATGACTAAGCAGGAATGGTTTTGAAAAACATCTAGTACGACCGTAAGGTTTTTAGAAATATGATCAACATATCAGTGGGAGTCAAAGTACTTCAAAAATCGAAAAATACTAATACATACGGTGAAATATTCAAATGTATTGCGTGGAAACAAGAAGGAATGAGGTACCAATATCTGTCATAACTACTGACTGGGTGGTTTCAACATAGAGGTACTTTGCACAGATGTAAAGCAGCTCCAGTTGCCACACACCCTCCATGTACCACAAACAACGCAACAGAAGAGAGTAAAGAGAGATTCAACAAAAGAGAGATAATAAACACAAGTGTGAGTGAGGCAAAAAGAATAGCAGTAATATGGAAGAACAACAGAGTTTTATTGGATATTATAAATCACAAGGAGTGGATGCATCTGTGCCATCACTGAGAACGATTTTGAGTCATATCACTAAGTGTATTCACTCGTTGGCTCTTATCATATAGACGACCCCAAAATGCCAGTTAGTCTGAACCTCCCTATGTGGCTGTTTCAAAATAACTGCTATGGATTTAATTCAATGATGAATCCATGTTCTGGTTTGACCACACCACTAGCTAACTCTTTTTCAACCTGATCCATCCTGTGTCAGCTAATATTGACTACCAAGGAAAGCGATGAATGGCTAAGCATGCGTAACACATATCCTAAACATCTCAATCGGTGCAGTCTCGTCGATTGATTTTCCTAACTTACTTAGTACTCAACCAAAACCTAGCCTTAATAATGCTCACCTAATTATGCCACTTAACAAGGGAGATAAAAAGCAGGTATCTATGATCAAAGACAGCTAGTTGGCCTTTTCATCCCTTCCACTTTTGATGGCCATCTCTCACTCACAGCCACTCAAAGCCACACAAGAACAGAGCAAATTGGTGAGGAGTACACAAGCCCTTCGGATACAAGGAAAAAAGTGTATATAAAATTTAATATTGGGTGTCTTTAAACACAGGCTTTGTGATCAATTACATAACTCCTACATACTCCCCAAGTCTCCAAAACAGTAGTTGTCACACATAATTTACTGTGACAGAATCGACAAAACCACGGATGGGAGTCCCTCCCCCGCCAACTGTCATTTTCAATTAACACATTTTAAAATTGAGCGGGTAATGATCACAGCAAAACACCTCAATTGACGAACCTGTAGAGTGAACACTAACTAACAAATCGTTCAATAAACTCAATTCGCAGATTGATAACAGTTAGAGAATCACTGAGAACTAGGGAGGACTGGATAGCTGTTTTGTTCTATTTTGGAAGGCTCCGGCGGTACGCCCTCATGATCCCACCGCAATGGATCAAAACCTAGGACCTTCAGACTACACGATGAGCTCAGTAGCACAGAACTCAGTGGCATATGAATTCAATTCGGGAATTTTTAGGGCCACCGCCAAACAATGTCCTAAGAAAATATTGGTCGTCACACCCGACTAGGTGGACCTTACTGGTCACCATGGAATTTCTTTATAATACTATGTATTAAAATCACTTTCGCCAATAAAAAATTAAGGGACACAATGCAAAAAAGAAGATGTTCACACAGAAACAAGAGGAGGAAAGCAAACAAAAATTTTCAAAAAAGGGAAAAATGTCTCACCTCAACTTGTTTATTGATGCTCAGAGCTGTGCCCAAAGCTCCACCAGTAGCCAGTACATAAGATACACCAAGACGTCTGTAAAAGGGGAGGAATAAGAAGACGATAGCGAGAATCAATAGACAATTCAGCGATGAATACTAGTGTATTACAAAAAAGCAATCAATTGCCACTGTTTTGGTAGATTGGTTTAAAGAGGAGACTGTCGTGGAGATAATAGATGGTTGGAGGCGATCGGCAGGAAGCCTTGCTTGACCTAGGTTTTGTTCTAGTCGGCAATCACTAGTCAGTAAGGCGTATCTGCATTGTTGAGGGAACTCATTTCCCTTCTGATATTCGAACTCGCATCACCCAGTGCTGCAGTCAGAGACGTTACCACTGAGATATTCAGGTTCGCGACTGACCTACTGTAGGACTGTATTGGACATTCTTTTGATTGCACACCAGTCAGTAACTAGTGTAATGTGTCTAGTCCTATCTTCGGTGCAGACTGAATTCTATCAGCTATTCGAACTCGCGATTGACCTCCTATAGGACTTTATCGGATACTTTGATATGACACTAGTCAGCCCCAATAGCTAAGTAGTGGTAACGTCTCTGACTGTAGCATTGGGTGATACTATTTCGAATATCAGAAGGGACATTAGTTCCCTTAAGGTTTCAGATACGCCTTGCTGAATGGTGAGTGCCAACTAGCACGAAATCTGGATCCAAGGCTTCCTGATGATTGCCTGCAAACATCTAATATCAACAATTTACAGTGCACTGCACAATGATAGCAAGCCACCTAAAGTGGTGGCCACATTCCAAACTTGACTTATAGAATTAATTCTGCACCAAAAGAAGGACTAGACTAGTCCTTGGGATGGTAAGAACCAATGAAGACTGGAAACAACTGGTGATAAGAATCAAAATCGTTCTCAGTGATGGCACAGATACATCCACTCCTTGTGATTTATTATATCCAATAAAATTCTGTTGTTCTTCCATATTACTGCTATTCTTTTTGCCTCACTCACAATTCTGCTTATAATCTCTCTTTTCTTGAATCTCTCTTTACTGTCTTCTGTTGCGTTGTTTGTGGTACATGGAGGGAGAGTTGCAACTGGAACTTCTGTATATCTGTGCAAAGAAAGTTCTATGTTGAAACCAGTCAGTCAGCCAGCCAGACGCACTATACTAGTTACTGACTAGTGTACAATCAAAGATAGTGGAGATTTGGGAATATTTGCTCTATATGGGGAAAAATACGCAATATGTTTTGTGATATCCATACAAGCACACACACACGCATATACTATTTAGCCACTGTTAATCAATAAAACAGTTGACTTCAATTCGACGAACCTCAGGGTAAAAACAATCTACTAACTTGGAAGAACATCAATAATATTGTCACATAAACATCGGGAAGAAAATAGCAATCTATAAACTTAAAAGATGTGTTCCGTTTTTCTATTTCTGTGTAACCAGAAAAACAAGGAAAAACAGGATGTTAGTTTTTGTATAGTTTAGGCAATATATGTAGACTTGTGACGTGTTCTACTGATAAGATTTATCAGTAGTATATAAAGAGACTTTCATCGGCATAAAAACATCAAATAGCTGGGAGATGGATTTGACATCATAGAAAGCAAATGATTCAGCGTTGCGGAGAAACATGATAAACGTGAAATGAACACAAAGAAACGCAATATGAAGACCAGAAGCAGCACAAAACTGAAAATATGTACAAATGATGAAATAAAGGTAAGGTATACATAATTTCGTTGATATAGCGATTCAGAATTTAAAATAAACAATGGAGCAGTAACTCATGGAAGAAGACATTGCGAAATGGTCGCGCTATGTCGTGAATTGGTAGAAGTTAGAATTCAAGGACCATTGGATCGGGTCCCAGTGGCTAAATCGTCTTTGAGCTCACCTTGTAACCATAGGGTCCTGGGTTCGAACCCTGGTGGGTGCGCACTGATGAAGAGTCTCAGACTAGGACGAAACAGTTGTCCAGTACTCCCAGATTTTCCAGTGGTTCTTTAACTGATGTCAACTCATGATGAAATCCTCCATGCAATCAAACATTCCTTTAGCAAGTTTCTTTCGTCCTCTACTGTTACAGAGACTGACCACTAACTCATTTACAAGCTTTAAATTAATAGACCCAGTAATAATAAAGGCTTTTAAGATGATATCCGATTTACGCAAAACTCTCTTTAAGTCAATTGGACTGAAGAAAATCTCTTAGGCTTAATGTTACTAAAAGTTTTTGTTTTGCTTGATCATGAATATCAGTGGAATCCCGAAAGAGCATTTCGTCCAATTCGGGACTCATCAGCTCCACCGCCAAAGTCAGTGATGGATGGTGCTGGTCCCACTGAGAGACTCCAACCCAGCTGTCCATCGTTTCAAACGTTAAAACATAACCCGATAGAACACACTAGGCTCACCATGTTCAGTGTGTCTGCATAAACTAGGCATCATGAGTGGAAGTGGAATCCACGCGCACACAGAGTCGACTGGAGTAGAATGCTAGTTAATTATGCATGTGGCTCATCTTTCGATTCCCGGTCAACGCACTTCGAAACCTCGCTTGGCCGAGAGTAAGTCTGGGAAAGAGGGGAGGGGGTTGGGTGTTAGGTTATCAACCCTATCCCGGTCTGAAAAAAGCACTGCCATTACTGAAACTTCAAGGTCTGGATCTTGAATTCCACAGGGAACAGAGGGAATGACAAACATTTGATAGACACAACAAGAAGACATATTTAAGTCAGTAATTGTTTGAAAAAAACTTCTTCCTACTTCAGGTTGTACAAAACGTTACTTATCTCAGAATTAAGTAGGATTGGCTTAAACCATGAAATGGTAAAATAGACAGTTTGTTTTTGATAGTGATTTAAATGCATGACGAAAACAATATACAGTTACTGATAGAGGTGAGACAGAATCACTGAACTAACTGTATGTTCGTAAATCTATAATTATGATATTATAAGTTGTAGCAGAATATAAGGAAATGTGAATAGAGGAAACAAATACGCTGAGCTTAGGCGATAACAAATAGCAATAATGATAATAATCGTAATAATAATTGCGCTATAGAAACAAGGCCGTGTGAAAGGAAGTAAGAAGGATAGAGAAGAGATATTAAAGTGAAGAGAGAGATGAAGTTATGAGATGATTGAGTCTGTATTGACCTTACAGTAGGCAAAAGCATATATATACCCTGCGTGTACTGTTTGTATGCAAAGGTTAGACCTATTCTTATTCGTTACAGGATTTTATCATGAGCTGGCATCGGTTGGAGGACTATTGGAAAACCAACAGGGCGTACTAGACAGCTGTTTCATCAGTACGCTCCCGCCGGGGTCTCGAAGCCAGAACCTTCTGGTTACAAGGCTAGGTCGTAGACCACTAACCTACTTGTAACCGAAAGGTCTTGAATTCGAACCCTGACGGTGGGTGCGTACTGATGAGGAGTCTCAAACTAGCACGAAACAGCTGTCTAGTACTTCCTAGTGATTTCCCTGTAATTATCTAATCGACGCCAGCCCATGATAAAATCCTGTAACCAATCAAAGCCCTGCAAATCAACACTTGAATACTATTCTCATTGATTTGTACAGCTTCAAATATGTCTAGAAGATGTTATCACACGCATATCTATAGCCAGATTACTATTCAATACTCGGTAGATTACCTTGAATGCTGTATCTGGTTTCATCTAGGGTTTACTCTGATGAACATTGAAGGAGACGAGGTAGCATTATTTATTGAATAGATTCCTCTTTTTCCTAATATAACTGGAATCTGTTGACAGAGGTAAAAGGGTTAGCCCCTTCATCTTCGTATCCATGAACATAAACTAACGGTCAAAAGATATGATATTCACTCCCTCATATCACTCACTGCATACAGACAACCACTGACATCAATTCGATTGGGACAACCAACGTTCAAATATTAGACCGAGGAAACACAAAAAATGCTAGAGAATTTTCAGAAGCTTGGTATTTTAGTGAATCGGCACAAAAAGTTACACTTCAGGTCAAGGAAACCATCAATCAATACTAATACAAGTAGCCTACAGGGTGTGAACACACACAAAAGCAACCAACCACGTTCAAGGTTATCAATAGAGGTGACTAATAAACTAGTGAAGAGTTCTAAAAACTCACTTCAACAAATTGAAATATGCACTGACGATGTTGTCTAGTAAAGCAATGAAAGCTTCGCAAGTAAACCATCAAGCTCAGAGAATACAACCAAACCGAAATGGTGAAGTCTTCCATGATTTGTTCAACCAGCTTCACAGGATCACTGAAATTCACGTACTCCCTCAAGTTTTATTATATTCCCCCCCCTACACTTTAACTACTAATTCCTCTGCCCTCCATTATTCATTCCCTTGCGCATCGAGTGGAACATAGGGCTTTGACATTTTTGTAGCGGTGGCCCCGTTTTTTCATAGGGTGGGGATGCTGGTCTCAAGCTCAACCTTCCATCTTCACCAGGCCAGGAATCGAACCCGGATCACTTGGCTTGTAAACATTCTACCACTAAACCACCGATGTATTTTGTGCCTCTTAATCCCTTTAAAAACGCCTTCTTAACATCAACCCATTACCATTTCTACTATTTGTGATTGCCTAAATTCATATGAAGCAGATACTATGTAGTTTTCATTTCAGTACATCAACAAGCACGTTATTCAGTCATTTCACCTTATCTGCGTCATGTATATAAATCAATATTAGAATTAAATACCTAATATTCGATGGTTTAGTGCAATCGTCCCATGTAGGGACTCTTCAGTAAAGCGCGCGCATAACTGCACCAGGAATCGAACCCGGAACCTTTAGGTTATTATTATTGTTTCCTTTAATTCCTAGAGGAACATAGGGCTTCAGCCGTGCGTCTCCACTGCTAGAGTCTTCACCTGGCTCCAAGTCTGCCCACACGTTTTCATCTCCTCTTCACATGACCTCCTCCAAGTCACCCTTGCACTGACAACCAACTCACCGCTTCCCTTTCCGGTTCTACTCGAGCAATGCCTTGTCTAGTGATGTCACTTGATGGTTTCC